ATCCACTCACCCACCATGCCACTATTCACCATCCATCCATCCATCCATCCACTCATCCACCCACCATGCCACTATTTACCATCCACCCACTCACCATGCCACTATTCACCATCCATCCATCCATGCATGCTCCCACCCATCAGTCCACAACTTTTGGCTGAGCCCCATTCTAGGAGATATGGCACCAAGACACAAACGCCCTGCTCTAACGGGTGCAGTCCTGGGATGTGTAGTAGGGGCAAACTGCTAAACAGGAGAGTTCCAGGTAGTGGGACAAGGTGAGGAGACAGTGACTGATGGGCAGTAAGAGGTGGCCAGAGACAACCTCACCCAGCCCCAATCCATCAAGGTGAGCCCTCAGGGGAAGAGGCTGCCCTGCCGGTGCACAGGGTGTAGTGTCCGCAGCTGGCACTCCCAGTGTGGCAGGGAGGCGCTGTGAGGACAGGGTGAGTGCTGGAATCCAGAAACACTGCAGCAATGTGGTGGGAATTTCGTCTCTGCTGAGGCCAATAATAAATGCGTGATCTCAAAGCAGGTGGTGGTGCAGTGGTCCCACAACTGGACCCACATGGGAAGGTCCCGGGTTCCTGTCCCAGAACCTCCCTGTGCATGCCGGGTGCTCAAATGTGACCTTAGCTGGCTGAGACAGAGGGGAGGGGTGGATCGTGGCACGAAGACTGTGGGGGTTGGGTGTCTCTCCAGAGAAATGAATAAACTTAAGGAAAAACCATGTCTCACGTTCTGTGTCTTTGTACCATTTTTCTAGTAATTAGTTTTTTTTGTTGTGCGTTACAAATATTTTATAAAACTATGAAAAAAAAATGGCCCTGCCCCCAAAATAGCTGGAGGAGCAACCGTGGGAGACAGGAAGGAAGCAGAGGGGTGGAAGCTGGAGAGGTGGGCGGGGCCAGGTTCTGGGCCCCCCGCGGTGTGAGGAGAGCCTGACTCAGCATGCAGGGACACGATTTGCTTTAAGCTTTGCTCTTTTAATGACCCTGATTATATGTGGAGAAGGGACCAAAGTGAGTCACAGGAGGAATAAAAAAGTAGGCTGCAGCTGAGTAGGGAGTGGGCTGCCAGGGAGGAAGGAAGGAGGGAGGAGGCCTGGATGGAGAGCGGAGAGGAGAGTGGCTACACCTGAGCATTGGATCGGGGCGCTGGAGAAAGAGGAAGCACAGGCACTTCTAGGCTCGGGGACTCAGCCCTGGGCAAGCGCCGGTGCACTCACTGAGGAGCCAGGCCAGCGGAGGGGTGTGCTGACCGTGGTGAGGGAACCCAGAGCTCTCCTGGGCTGCTTTGCAACCGGGACATTTCCAGGCTGGAATGTCTTCCGGCTGAGTGACCAAGCTCAGGGCTCAGGGGAAGGGATGAAGCTGTTTGGTTAATGTGTCTGTCTTGCCCAAGGACTGAGCAAGTTTGAACGAGGCCTGGTTTCTCTTCCTCTTCCCAGCATTGACACATTGCAAAGTGAATGAATGAACGAGTGAGTACTGAAACTGGCACTCGGCAAGTCTTCCAGCCTTAGGATATCCACGGTCATTGGATGGGAAGCTCTTCATGTGCCAGGCATGGGTACCTGTGTTGTGTGCTTGTGCACACACATATGAAAGTCCGGGGTCAGGACTGTCAGCAATGGACGGTACCAAGTCCCCAGGCCCTCTGCCCTGCACTGCCCAGCGTGGGTGTGGTAGGGATGAGACACTTTGAAAACAGATTGAGCTGTAAGCCCAGGGGTCTAATGACCCTGCAGGGCCAAGGTACAGCACAATGACCACAGGCCCTGGCACCTAGAAGGGAGGGAGCAGAGAGGGTGGAGGAGTGTTTGTTCAGAAATGTACCTGGGCCGCTGTGGGCCCTGTTCTGAGCTGAGCACGCCCAGGCATCCAGCCCCAGGATGGTCACAGCAGCGCAGGGGTGGCTCTGTCCCTCCCACTTGACAAGCAGGGGTCACCATCACTGTGGGCAGCATGCCTAAATTGTGGGAGTCCGAGCTCTAGTCTGCCACCCCAATAGCTGAGCTGTCCCGCCCTCTGGGTCTGGAGCCTCGCCCCTCCTCTCCAGAGGGAACAGGCTTCTGCTCCAAGCCGGGTAACTTGGGGCACATCGAATTGACCCAGGAGCGAAGCTGGGCTCTTCGCCCTCCATGCTCCAACTTCCCAGCCGAGTGACAATGGCCATGCTCCCTGACCTCTCTGAGCTCCGGCTTCCTCATCTGTGCAAAGCACACTGCTTGGGCCCTTGGCTCCTTCTACACCAGGTGCCCTTTACCCTCTCACCCTCCCTGCTACCCCCAGGCACCCTGGGGCATGGCCAGGAGAAAGACTTTCTTTCCAAAATCCGAGATAGCCCCGTGTGCTGTGCCCTTTCCAGCATCAGACCCTCATGTCCACTGAGGAACAGGGTCAGCATGGGGGCCACCCTCAGACAGCAGAGCAGACTGGCCGTCACGTTGCACCAACAGCTCTCCCTTCTCCACCTCTGTGATCACACCAGTGTGAGCTGGGAGGTGTGGATGGAGAGGGCTTTTTAGAAGACTGAGGGAAAACAGTGATTGTTGCAGGAAAAGGGGTGGTCAGTGGGCTAGCCAGTTGAACTAAAGGCCATCCTGATGCTGGGAGAGTGGACAGTGCTCTGTGGGGAAGGAGGTGGAATCTGGGGCAGGTCCCCGGCCTCCAGAGCTCCCCAGCCGGTGCAGAGCATGCAGATGCACACACGGGCCACAGGCTATGCCGGAACCCTCCCCAGCCCGGATCAGTCCTACCTGTCCAGCAGGGCCTTGTAGCTGAGCACCCCGGAGATGAGGCTGGCTGCAAATCTGCGGAGAGAGCTGAGGCTGAGCCTCTCCTCCCACAGGCTCCTGCCCTCTTTTCCTCCTCCCTCCTTCCCTCCTCCCTTCCTCCCGCCTTCCTCCCTCCTAGCCCTGCTCTGATCCAAACTCTGGGGTCACCTGCCACATGCCAGGGCTCCATGGTGCTCTAACCAGAGATGGATCTCGTCACTCCCCACCCCAACCCTGATGCTGCCAGCCCATCCTGACTCTTGGACTAAAAAGGGTCTTTTGGGGGACCAGCGGATGGCATAATGGTTACATCGCTGAACTCCCATGTAGTTGACCCTCGTTCAAGTCCTGGACCTGGTGGCTTAAAACTCACCGGATGTGTGTGTGCGTGCCCAAGATCCTGAGAGGAGAATGGAGAAGGGCTTGTGGTGTGGCCCTCCTCCATCCCCGGGGGGTGATTTCTCGCTTTCTGTCTCTCTGTCTCTTTCTGTCTCCGGTGAGCGCACATGCCTTATACCAAAAATCTCTCTCTCTAAAAAAAAGAGATCTTTTGGTGAGAACTAGGGGCAAGGATGCTGGGGAGGAGCCGGGGAGGAAGCTGGAATCACCTGGGGAGGAGGGAGAGGGAAGCAGGAGGAGCCCCGGAGCCAAAGCAAAAGGCCCACGGTAAGGACGGGGCTCTCCTGCGCAGGGCCTTCGTGGCCCTGAGCTCTGGAAGCCCAGTTGGCTGGGAACCATCTCTGTCTGGACCCCCGACACTGCTGAGCAGGGAAGCTGTGCTGGAGGGGCACTGGGCAGAGCAGCAGGGTGTGTCCTCTTAACTGTGCATGGCTAATGAGCCCTGGCTTAATTGCACGGGGAGGAAAGGCCCCCTCTGCGATTGGGAGAACTGTTTCCAGAAGTCATTCATCCATCCCGCCCGCTTCCTCAGGCCCAGGGGAGGCCCAGGCTGCAGGGGGAGGTTTGGCAGGGGGCAGGGTGGGTCTCCCTGGCAGACTGGGTCGTGTACAGAGGCGGAGGCTGACCTCTTGTTTGCAGGCCATAAGCCTGCTCTCCCTCGCAACTGTGCCCACCGTCTGTCTCATCCAGGTCTTGAGACCACAGACTCAGAGACTCCTGCCCGCCCCTCCCTCTGCCGCTGTCATTATCATCATCATCGTCATCATCACCGTCATCATGGACCCAGCGGCACTTGGGGCGGCTCAGTGAGCTCTGAAATTGCAGCAGATGGCAGAAGCTCTGCGGCGGCTGGCGGGGAGGGTGGTTTCCACCCCGCGGCAGCCTCTGTTTAGACGGGAGCCCTGGAGGGCGGCAGAGGTCCTCAGATGGCCTGGGCCAGTGTGTCCCAGAGATCAGAGCCGGTGGGTCCGAGGAAATACACCCCCTCCAGGGCCTTAGCCAGGTCAGGGCAGGCCTGGGACACCTGGAGCCCACGGCCACCCTTAATGCCCGTCCCACCCCAGACCAACACGAGGGGGCTTCAAAAAGGTTGTGGAAAGTAGAATTAAAGTATGAGTTTATTGGGGTGCAGAAAGCAAATTGAAATCCATGCAGTTTTTCAGGCTACCCTTCTCCAGGGTAGAAAACCCCTAGAATATTCTAGGGAGGACCATGTGAGTCACCAAGTGCGGCCACACCTAGCCTCCTCCTGACTCAGGACTCTGGTCTTCCTTCCTGGAGCTGGGGCCAGGCCCTCACCTGGCAGGTACGGAGCTGAACCCACGGTCCGTGCCTCACCTTAGCTGCTCGTTGGTGTCTTGGAAGTGCTGCTTGGCAAATATCACAGCTGGGCTGGAGTTGACGGGCAGAGGCAGGCGGTTATTGAGGTACATGTCGTTCAGCCAGTACTCAGACACCTGCAGAGGGAAGGAAGTGAGGCCCGGACGGCTGCAAGCCCCTCCCGAACGAGGGCACTGGCTGTGGGAACCCCATCCCATTCTGGTGGTCCCAAAGGTGAATAGGGACATTCCACTGGCTCCCTCGTTTCATTCATTCATTCCCCAAACACGCACTGAGCCCAGCCACGTGCTCCCCGGGCGCCAGGCCCAGCCTCTGTCTTTGCCCCAAACCATTTCCTTTCTCCCAGTGTCTGCCCTGGCTGTTTGGTCTCCATCTTGGTCCCCTGCCTGTCCTTTTGTGTCTCCTTCCTGTTTCCCTGGGCTCACCTAGTCCCCTCTCCCCTGATCACGCCTGATCCGGACCACTTTCCAAGGTTCTGGGTCTGTGTCCTGTTTTACCTACAATGTACACTTCCTTCCTCTCCCCGCCCAGTTCCCTACTTCTACAAAGAAACTCTGTCCTCATCTCTCCCCACCTTGTCTCTATCCCCCCTGTCTCCAGTCCTGCCACATCTCTGTCCCCTGTCTCTCCCCACCTTGTCTCTATCCCCGTCTCCAATCCTGTCCCCTGTCTCTCCCCATCTCTCTATCTTCCACCCCAGTCCTGTCCTATCCCTGCCCCTGTCTCTCCCCACCCCGTCTCTATCTTCCCTGTCCCACTGCTGTACCCCTCTGGTCCCCTTTCCTCATCTCCATCTCCCATCTCTCATCTTGCCTGTCCGTGCCCCTCACTGTCTCCCAGTTTATGCTCCCTGTCTGCTCCTCTCTGTCCCCCTTCCCTGCCCCACTTTGTCACCTACCTGCCCCTGGCCCACCCAGGACCCTCGCTGTCTCCAGGTCTGCCTCTTGCCCCTCCTGGGAGCCCTTACCCAGTTGGCTGTCCTCTCCTGCCGCTCCAGGAGCTTCTGCTGCAGGGCCTCGCCAAGGCCACCGGGGGCCCCAAACTGCTGCACAATGGCCTGCGTCTTCCGGAACTGCTCCTCGGGCACCAGGTGCTGCATGCACTGCAGGTAGGTGGCCAGGGTCTGCTGCAGTGGGGGCACTGGCAGCTTGGGCAGCCCCTGGAAGGGAGGGTCACAGGCTCTAGCTCTGTCTGTCCTGCATGTGCCCCACGCGTGGCCCACATTAATCCCGTATCTGTCTCCATCTGCCCCATCCCTATTCTCTCTCCGGGGTGTCCAGGGCTTGGCTCAGCAGAACGAGGAATTAGGAAACTCTGTTTGCTCTTCCTGCTCCTCATGGTGCTCCCCTTCCCCCTGTGATGCTCCACCCCCAGGAGGGCACAAAACGCAGAGGAAGAGACCATGATGGCACCAGACAGACCTGCCTGTGCCATACCCTGACCTGCCACTGATCAGCTGAGTGACCCTGAGCGAGTCACCTGTGTCTCGAAATGGGGGTGATAACCTTTTCCCCTCAAAAGACCAAAGAGATAATGGACGTGAAATTCTCATAAACCGTAAAGAGTGAGTTTAGGATTTAGAAACATTGCTCTCGGTACTGCTGGCTGATGGGCATGCCTCACTCAGGAACTGTGCCCAGTGGGGCTCCGGGTCTGACATCTCCAGGTGGAAAGAAGCCGATTCTACAGAGAGACTTGGACGGGTAAGAGATGGCTGGGGAGCAGCTCGGAGCTGCCCTAATTACCCTAATTCTGCAAGGTGTGTTTGCCAGGACTCGACTCACACCCTGAGCTCCTTGCTGAGTACCTCCTGAATTGTGTCCCATGTGGGTACTAGGCAGGGGGTAGGGTGCGAGTGGAAGTCCTTGGAAGCCCTCCCTTCTGAATCTCTTTAAGTCTCAGCTCTGCACCCACAAGACTCAAACAGCAATGCCTATCTGCAAGGGGTGCAGGGAGAACTGAGGGGAAGAAACACCTGGCCCCAGGCGGGCACATCAGAAAGTGTTAGGTGCCGGGACGCAGCCCCGCCCTGCTGAGCGGAGGCCTGGGAACAGGTCCCAGGGTAGATACAGCAGGGACAGAGACCGACCCTGGCTCCGTGTGGGGATGGGCACAGGCCACACATGACATTCTGTTACGATGTCACTGTCCTTATTTCTCCAGAGGAATTCCTAAGAAGTCTACCATCTTTGGGGGCTGCAGTCTGGGCAGAACCGCCCACTCGTGTGCTGACATTGGGAAATCCAGTGCCCGTGTTCTCCTGGGAGTCTCGTGTGTCTTCGACCTTGGACTTAGCTGAGGCAGGGGCATTTGTCCCACTTACAGATGAGGAAACCGAGACCCAGAGAGTGAAGGGACTGGCCCAAGGTCACATGGCAGTTTGGGGAAATTGCTGGGAGCTGCGTTCAACCTTCCTCCAAGTCCACTTTAGTTATTCTCTCCCTTTCTCATCTGGCTCGCTTTCCCACCCCTTCCTAACCTTCTCCCTCACTCAGCTGGGACAAAGGGAAGCAGGCTTTTTGTACAAGTGCTTAACCTGTCCAAGCTGGTGAGAGCGGGCTGCCTTCCTCCTGGGGTTCCTTCTCTGTGGGATGGTGTGTTTCCAAGAGGAAGCCCAGAGTTTGTCCCCACCCTGGCAGGCTGGAAGCAAAGGGGTCATTGAAGCACCCCTAGCACTGCACAGCTGCCGTGCCCTGGGCAGAGGCGGGCCACGCGAGTGTGTGCGTGCATGTGCGTGTACAAATGGAGGCAGCCCTCTGCCTGTCTGAGCTTGTCTCCAGGGTTCACTGCAGAGGGTGGGCGTGGGGTGGGGTGTAAGCGCCATGACAAATGACTCAAGGCTGGGGCTGGGCAACATCCTGGGCTGCCAGGTCTGGGCCCTGCATCCAGCATTCCTGGCTCCTCCATCTTTTGTGGTCAGGGGTCTGTGTGGTGGGTGGGTGGGCAAGCCCCTAAGAAAGCCTGGCCCAGCTGGTGGCCTGGCCTACAGCACCAGCAGGACTGGCTGGAACCTGCTCGAGAAATGGCTGCCATCCCTCTGGGTCCTGACAGAGCTTAGCCTAGAAGGGGGGAATTGGTGGTGGGTAATTAGGAATGAAGCAGAAACTCTTGGCTCCCTTCAGGCTCCGTCGTGGACTCCCCTGGCTGAGGCCAGAGGCAGAGACTTGTCCTGACAAGGGTCTTTGAACCCTGGGTCACAGTTTACGTGAGCCAGACCATGGACTACACTCAGAGGCGATGGGAGACAGAGTCAGCGCTCAATGAAGCTACACTCAGTGGTGGGGGGCGGGCAAGCACTGGACCAGAGGTTCTACAGTGTTCTCCAGCTGCAGGGGTGGGGCGGCGCATGAGCAACCTCATGGGGAGAACCAGAATGTTCTACTCCGGGTGTCAAATGAAGGCCGAGGAAGGGAGAGGAGGGAGGTGTCCAGGGCACATGCAGCAACCTGTGGTCGGGAGCGTGGCACCGTGGCACCGTGGCTGTGCAGGCTGCTCGGAGAGAGGGAGCAGGCCAGGCAGGGGTGTGGCAGCACTCAGAAGGGAATGCGCCCCCCAGCCACCTGGGAGAGAGCTGGTGCCTGGCCCAGGTCATGGGCTTGCCCTGGCCTCTGGCTCACGCCCCTGGACCCCCGTGGCACCTCTCTGGGCCAGGTCCAGCCCTCCAGCCCCTTGCAGGCTCCTCTGCATGCTCTGTGCAGGGCTGCGGCCTGGCCCCAGGCCCAGAAGAGGTCAGGGCTAGGTCCGGAGAATGCTGGGTGCCTGTGCCACTTGGGACTGCTCTGGAAGCAAGGGCATGTGAATTGGGGGAGCAGGGATCAAAGAGTGGGGTCCAAAACGTCACTCACAGGCTCCTCCTCACCACCCGGAGTCTTCGCTGCCATCTTGTGGGGGACCTTTTCCAGGATGGGCATCTTGGGACTCTGGTCCAGAGTAGCAGAGGTGAAGACCTGAAGGCCACAAGGGGGAGGTGTGAGCACAAAGGCCACACAGGTCTGCCATGGCCCAGGCCTCTCCCAGCCTGCCCCCCACCCCCCAGTGTCCACACTGAGCCCCACGGTGGGAGAGAATGGATCCTGAAATGAGCTTCCAGCTGGGCCTCTCCCTGAAGCTGCTGCCCCCATGGCAGTGGATGGCCCCAGGGCAGTGCTGGAGGGAGCAGAGCCGAGGCTGACAGAGCGCTCCTGGCCCTGCCTGGGACCCAGTGCACATGCACTTTGCTAACGACAATCTCCCTTTTCTACTGGGCTGTGAGCTTCTGGAGGGCAAGGCCAGACCTGCTGTGCTCAGGGCTTCATCACGGTGCCTGGCCTGGAACCTGCAGGCCGGGTGAGTGTTGGTTGGTCACTCTGGGCTGCTTGGGAGTCGGTCTGTGGCCAGGCCAGCGAGGACTGTAGGGCCATGGGGCGGCTGTGACTGAGAGGGCTCTGGTCTGCAGGCTCCCAGTGGAGGTGCCATGGGCACTCGGAGGGAGGTGAGGGATGCATGGAAGTTGGGCAGCCAGGGCCCCTGGGTGTCACCTGACTTAGCCTGGGGAGAGGCAGAGTCATTTAGAAGGCGCAGTAGAAATGAGTCAGGTTAAAGGAGGCAAGGGCCGGTTTTTAACTCTGCTGGGTGCAAGCTCTACCTCTGAGCTCCTTCTAACCCTAAGCCTACAGCCGGGCACGCCATGATCGCCACCCTCTACTCTCCCCCAAGAGCCTAGAGCTGACATCTAGCTCGGTTCACACCAGCCCTACCCAGAGGCAAACACAGCGCAGATGTGGCACAAGGCAGGCGGGTCTGGGAAAGCCGAGTTTGCAGGAAGACACGGGAACCAGGCCCGAGGCTGGAGGAGTCCCGCCAGGGCAGGCTAGACAGGAATGTAACTAGCTCCTTGCTGTGAGGAGCAGGGATGCTTCCCGTTTCGTGGTCTCCAGGCCCAAGTAACAGGACAGCAAGGGCTGCCCCACAGGAGGAAATCTGCGGCGTCCAGGCGATTGTCCACTCAAGCAGCAGTGTGTTCCGAGGGGCAGGGAGGACAAGGTCAACTTGATAAAGGCCCTCAAGGCCGCGCCCCGCCTCTCCGTGTTCTGCAGCACCGAGGTGGGAAGACCCTCAGTCTGGCGTCCGGGATCCAAGTCCACCGACCCAAGTGGTCCTGGCCTGCCAGCTCCTCTTCCTTCTGGACGCCTAGGCCGCTCTAGAGGGCGTACGTGCGTGTGTATCTGTCTGTCGGGTTTGTGCCCCCCACCCTGCTCCCGCCCGCCCAGCTATGTAAGGCTGCCTGGAGGCGCCTCTGCTGTGCCCCCGACGCCCCACCACCGCCGACCCGCGGCAGGGTGTCTTCACGCTCTGCCTTGCAGCGGCGCCCCTCCTACCCTGGCTCCTAGAGGGTCTGGAGATTGGTCGGCGCGTGCGGGCACTTCAGGGGTTCCTGGCGAGGCCGAGCGCCCGCCACCTGCGCACGGGGGGGAGCAGACCTCTGCGCTTAGCGGAAGCGGGACCAGGCGAAGTGCCAACGCGCGCGGACTGCCAGAGCCTCTCCCAGACCAGGAGCCGGAGCAGCCG